CCACTTCTGTCTGAACTGTGGGGAAGGGTGTGTCTGGAGGAACCAACTTGCAATTACAGTACTTTTCTCTCTGCTAGAAGACTAACCCTAACATTCATTAAAGCCAACTACAGGGCAAGCAGAGAAAGTGCTAATATAATATTTTAAATTACTATAGATCTACAATCTAACGATCCCACATAGACTCAAGCCATCGATACCTGGTTAAATCAACAACAAAAGGCTCACTATCAAATTCTTAATTCAGAGATTCATGGAGCATGGCATTTTACACTCGATGGTTTCTAGGATTTTTTAAAATTTATCTGACATAGAGAAAGAGAGAGACAGAGAGAGAGCGTAAGCAGGGGGAGCAGCAGACAGAGAGGGAGAAGCCCACTCTCCACTGAGCAGAGAGCCCAACGTGGGGCTCGAACCCAGGACCTTGGGATCATGACCTAAGCTGAAGGCAGACACTTAGCCAACCAAGCCACCCAGGCACCCCGGTTTCTGAGATTTTTGTTTATTACTTGAAAATCCCAGCAATAGTATTGCAACGGTCCTTAGACTCCTAGAAATGAACGTAAGCATTTTATCATCCTCTTATTTTAAAAACGATGCCATCTGTCTCTTCTGGTCCCCAGTGAAACAAGAAAGTAGTAAAATGGGGTATGACCAGAACAAAAAGTGACTGGCCAAAGGGACACATAAACAAAACCTTTCTGTGTTGATTTATTATGAAATAACATTGATCTGTTCTTCCATTAAGTTCACTACAAGTCAATAAACGTGTAAGCAACCTCGATTCTGAGAGCAGACTGCTTTACGTTTACTGCTCGTTTCCAAGCAATGTCAAGCGAACAGGAGAAAAAGGTCAAATCCAGGGGCCTGATAACTCACTCACTCCTCTCAAGATGATGCAGCAGCTTTCATAGCTACAAAGAAGCAACCACAATGCTGGAAGTTTTAGCTCGATCATGAAGACTTTTTCATAATCTCACTTCTTCTGTCCCCCAGACCTGTGAGTTACACGGAACAACAGGGTATTAAAGTGATAACCCAACTTGAATTGGGAAGAGCTGACATATGGGGAGGGAACTGGAGACGACAGTGCTTGCAGGTAGAATCCTGATCCAAGTTTCAGGAGACAGAAGAGGTGGACAGTGAAGAATCGGTTTTAGGTGGAGCCAGGCTGCCAGGGTTGGGTTCGAATTCTGGCCACTACTTACTAGCTGGGAACTTGGAGCAAATTCCGACGGAGCGGCGGTTGTGAAGAGTACCTGAGACTATCCACGGGCTGTGTCTCTGTTGAATGCCCACTGTTTTCCGTGGCAAGGACAACTGTGGTACTATAGGCAGAGGAGACAGCGCCCACCCGCACCGGGAAGCCAGGTGAAAGGTCATTTTCAAGTTCGTAACTGTGCCAGTCAAGGATTTCTACTTAGCTAAGCACCTGCTACTAAACGTACATCGTGTCATTGTGTTTGGCGTTGAATCCATCTCACAGAAACATAAAAGTTTCAAAGTGGGGCAAAGAGGCTGGCAAAAAATACCAACTACGGACCATTTGGTTTTAAACATTCTGTTGTGTGTGTGTTTAATTGCAACATTGGGGTTTTGTTTGTTTTTGTTCCTAAGCCTTCAAACTTTTTTTTTTTTTTTAAGATTTTATTTATGACAGAGATAGTGAGAGAGGGAACACAAGCATGGGGGAGATGGAGAGGGTGAATCAGGCTCCCCACTGACCAGGGAGCCCGGCATGGGGCTCAGTCCCAGGACACTGGGATCATGAGCTGAGCCGAAGCAGATGCTTATCAGCTGAGCCACCCAGGTGCCCCCAAATAGATTACTTTTTCTTTAATTTTTTTAAAAAAATTAACATGTAATGTATTATTAGCCTCAAACTGTCTTTTAAAGATGGAAAATATTTCTCTTTAAGGTTACAAATAGCACACAAAGAACCTGAGCTACTCACTCCTCTCCTCCTCAACACCCACTGACCCCTGCCAGCAAATCATGCTGCCCACCGCCCACTGTTCAGGTCCTGGAAAGCAGAGTCTTTGAAGGTGCTGATTCTAGAATAAGATCACAATTGGTGGCACCCCTTTGCAGTCCATGCTGAGGAGGGAATGTATGAGCTCCACAATCCTCATCACTCTTCTTGCCATGGACCAGCTGGCTGCCTGGTCCTTAGCTGTTGGATTTGCCCACTCTCCCTTTAAACACAGAAGTGCTCACCAGGCAAACTCAACTGTCTCCCCAGTGTGCTACCTGGATTGCCCAAGGGAACAGGGCAAAGAATGCATTCAGTGGATCATCTGCTTTGTACATAAAGTCATCCTTGAATGGCTTTGGAATAGTGATTTCCATGATATGGAGAAACACATCTTTTAACTAGTAGAGAAGTTTACATGGGAAATCTTGTACAAGTTGTATGTGACTTGGTAGCAATAAAATAGGGATAAAAGTAACAGTAACCTCGTGGTGTAAGGACATGATGATGATGATAGTGGCAAGTGCTTACTGTGGGCGGGTCACAGTTCTAAGCCCTGTGAATAAAGACAACACGGAATAAACACAACAACAGAACTGAAAAATATTGGCCATGACCATGATTTTTAAACTTTCTGTTTAGCATTAGACTCTTTCCCCCAGGCAAAACTTTACACAGAACAGCATATAAAACAAGAAAGGGTGCTGGGGGGACAAAAGGCAGAAGCAGAGCTGTTCTATGTGTAGCTGGAGGCAGGGGACCTGGCTGCTGGGTCCCCTGTTCCACCTGGGGCACTCCTGGCACCCCAGACTAGCCCCTAGGGACTATCCTGGGGTTTTCCCGCAGCTCCTGAGGACATGGCTGCAAACTTGCGGCCTTTTTGGTGAAGAACCAGGGCAGAGTGTGAACGAATCCTAACAGTTAATGACCCGGAGGCTGACCAGAGGCAAGATGAGCCAGGAAAAATGTGGAACGCACATACCCTCCTCAAGCGCCCTACGGCCAAAGGTATGTGGAGGACTTGGAGTTTCTCCTCCAGTGGGTGGGTCTCCCCCTGCTTCCTCTTCCCCCCACCCGGTCTTGGAGCCTCAGGGCTTTGCACCAAATCATCTAGGGTGCCACTTCCCTAATATTCCAATTCTGACAGTGTCTTTCCCCTCATATTATACACAGATGCTTAGTTCAAGATTCTCAATGTCCCAACACTTAAAAAGAGTAAAAATGGATACCAGAAAATTCTTTTCATCCCTACCTGCGCTATAGGGATGCTGTCCGGCTGCTGTTGTTTGGTTTTTTACTGACAAGTGTGACTCGTTAGCTGTTGCCATTATCTCAGAAGTGAACCTTGGTCTTCCTCTTACCAAAAGAGGAGTAGCTAAAAATAACCTGCTCCCATCCTACCTTTGGCAACTGGCCTTAAAACTCCCCCCACCCCCAAACACCACCTGTGAAGAAGGGAAACTATGCTCCTAAGTCCTCAGAGGTTATGGGTTCTGTTTTGGAGGGAAAAAAAAAAAAAAAGTTTTCCATAACCTGATCCTTGAATCACATTTTTCCACTGCTGCACACCAACAGCAGTTCCCACAGGCCGGAGAGGAAAGAATTCTCTGGCTCCCAGTGCTGGCACACCTTGAACTCGATGCATTGGAAGGAAAAATTCCTAGCCATTAGGTTAAGCCCAGAGTAGGCAACTTTCTGCCTCCCAAACCAGCTTTCTCCTGCTGAGCCCTACCTCCATTTCCAGCTTTTAGCTTTCTCTCCCAAAATAAGGCAAGGGGTGGGGGGAATCACATCATAAAAAGTTCAAATGACTACACCCTCAGGAAATATTTGGCGAATCCTGTAATAATTCAGGGTACAGAAAGGTTGAAAAATGAGTTCCTTTTCCAAACTTCTGAGATTAGGAGGTAAATCAATCATAGGACTCTAGACTGGGAGGGGCCTTAGGGCCTTACGGATCTGCTACCCCCATGTCTTCATCCACGAGGATGAGGATATGAAAGTCCAGTACGGCTTCTAGCACGTCGAGAACTCCTGTCCTGACTCCCAGAATGGCATTGTTTCCACCACACCCAACAGCTCAGGTGTGAATCAAAAATTTCTCCGGAGACCAAGAACCCCAACTAATAAGCAGTCCTGGCACCTGCCAGCTTCCCATAAACGCTGCAATACCTCGGGCCCCAGCTCTGTTTGTGAGCAGGCATGCCCCCCAAATTCACCAGCAGCAACGGGAATGTGCTCAAAATGAGAATCTGCTCCGTTTCCCCCACTTGGAGCTGGGGCTGCCAGCTGAAGAAGGGAAGGAAAACAGCCTCCCCTGCACCCCAGCCGCGGACGCCGAGAGCCCAGCCGCCCAGACGCGGGGTGGGTGGGCGGAGTGCCCCCGCCTCAGCGCCCATCCTCGAGCTCGAGACCTGCGCTATTGCTGCTCCTGTGTTTGGGGACACTGTGGTTCAAAAGCCAGTTTTCTCTGTTGTTCAGCAAGTCTTGACGGCTGCAAAGGTGTGGCCCACATCCTCCACCAGCAAAGCGCGAAACCCGTCAACTCCCTCCGCCCCCCTGCGACTCCCCCGACAACAATCAAGTTCTCAGACGGGACGCCAAGAAAGGGACACGGCCGCTCCGGCGGCAAGGCCAGACCCCCAGCGGCTGCCTGCGACCGCCACCCCGTTCCAGCCCGCAAGAAGGGCTCCCTCCTCCCAGGAACCTGCCCTCCCCGCCACCGCACGTCGCTCCCAGCCACGACCCAAACAGCTCTGCCTCCCGAGGGCAGTTCCTATATATGCAGCTGCTACGCGACAGTCGTCCCCGACTGCAGCCCAAACCTTGCCGGAGGTGTTTGGGGGTGCAGCCCGTTCCCCACCGTCTTGCCCTGGGGCGCCCCCGGACCTCCCAACCCTCAGCGCGCGGGCGTCGCACCCCAAAGCCGCGGACTGCGCCGAAGCCCAGCGGAGGAGAGCGCGCCCCGGGCTGCCCGCCGACCCCCGCCCACCCTGCCCCGCCCCGCCGTCCCCCGGTCCGGGCCCACCTGCGGCGGGGGCAAAAGGACCCTCCCGCTCCCGCGCCCCCGGGGCGCTTCTCCGCGTCGCCATGCCGGCCGCGCGCTGCGAACGGGCGCGGAGCCTCCCGCGTCGGTCAGTCGGACGCCGCGGCCGCCCGCCGGCGCCGGGGATCGCTTCCCCGCGGCTGGCAGGCTCTCTAGGTGCGGGGTGGGGACGGCGGTCCGCGCTCCCGCCCCGGGAGCCCGGCGGCTGACTGACGCGCTGGGCCGCCAATGGGAGGCCGCGGCGGAGGTGGGCGGGGCCTGGGGGCAGAGATGGGCGGGGCCTCCGCACACCGACGGGGTCCCCAGCGGCTCCGCGTGCTGTGCGGGGCGTGGGAAGCTGCTCCTCCTGGGACGCTGGCGAGCTCCACCTGGGCGGATCCCGCGATCTGCCTAGCACTTGACATCGAAAGTCCCTTGAGTGGGAAGCAAAGAAACTCGGTGGGTGGGATGACGAGGGAGAGGGACCCGTGTGTTTTTCCTCTCCCCGCGAGGGTACGGAAGGATTCCCATCCCTGGCCGGACTTCAAGCCACTGGTGGGTCACGGCCATGGGAGGGCGAGCCTGGATCCAGATGTAACTCCCGGCCCAGGGCCTCTTCCACTAGGCTGGGCAATTTTTTTGATCTTTATTTTCCCCTAGGTCAGCAGAACCGGGTAATGCTTACTTAGAAGTCACACACAGTTTGCTTTGGGAGCCGGAATCTGTGCGTTATTGCCAAAATTAATCCTCTGATAAAACTGTTTATCAAAAGGAAAAAAATAAACAGCCCAACAATAAAAAGGCGCCCACAACAAGGTTCTTTTGCCCCTGATTTTTCTATTCAGAGGGACCCTTTCTTAGAAGAAAAAGGAAGAAAACAAAAGTCTGATGAACACTTCCTTTTTCTCCAATATACACAGTTCCAGAAAGAAACAGACTTGCGTGTGGCAAGTTTGGACACTTTTTGAAACAAATCCCATAACTAAAGAAAGGTGTGGAAAACACTGGAATTTTAGGTGGCCCCAGTACAGTTCAGAATGTCAAGGGATGGAATCCACTTCTGTTTTTCTGAATCTCAGAGTAAAGGATCATAGGTCTTGGGCAACTCCAGTAAAATTCCAACAGCCACAGCAGTTAATCTAATGCTGGGCATTTACCGGCTGCTGACATCAGGCCACGCTCTCTGAGAATTCTTTTATGTTTTACTTAACACATTATTTCACTTAATCCTCACACCTGCCCATGATGTGGAAACTGAGACTCAGTAAATGCTAATGCAGAAGCTGACACAAGATCTGATCTCTCCACCACCCCGCCACTCTGCAACCCATGATTCACAGAAGATAATAAAATGTTCCCTAACTCTGCTGCATGTTTAGGGAAAAAAATCCCTTTTATCCAAATCAAATGGGAACATAGAGGGGCACTTTTCTGCCGCCGTAAACCGTGACTGGCGTGTATGGAGTCATATTACTCATACAAAGTAAATGGCTTAAAATTGCTGTGCCTAATTAAACCAAACAAGGTTATGAGCAGTGCTGAGTAAAATTGTCTATTCTAGAAACTGAAAGGACCAGGACTAATTTCTTGTGGTGTGGTATAAGATAAAATGTACCGAAGTTCTTTAACCACAAAACAAATTAGCCAGCAGCCTCGCCCCCCTCCGACAAGATAATATTTATGAACACAGCTGTTTGGACTCAGCCTGAAATCCTTTCAAATAATTCATGATCACAGTTTTGTGGTTTGCTGTAATGTTGTTCATTGTTTCTCCAAAAACTGAGTGGGAGGTCTCTTAAAACGGTACTGTACTTGCAGGCCTAGACCTTGGAGCCAGACTGCCTGCATATTAGCCACACAGTCTTGTACAATTATTTAAGCTTTCCGTGCCTCTGTTTCCTTATCTGTAAAATGGAGCTCCTGTGAGTAGCTTTCCCATAGGGTTGTTAAGGCGATGAACTGATTAAATATGTCCAAAACCCTTGGAGTAACGCTTGGCACATCATAAACACTACATAAATAGTTAGTCAAATAAAGGATGTGTTACATGTAGAGATTTAGGCTTTCCAGTCTCCCCATGTGTGATTTACTGCATGTCTTAACAAAACAAATATTAAATCCTAACTCCCCATTTTTCCCCTTCCCTTATCCCCAGCTCCTAACAACCATCATTCTACCTCCCGACTACTGTCTGAATTCGACTACACTTGCTACCTCATATAAGTGGAATCGTACAGGATTTGCCTTTCTGTGACTGGCTTATTTCACATAGCTGTTCCTGTCTTCACAATCCATCCATCTTGTAGCCCGTGTCCGAATTTCCTTCTTTTCAAGGCTGAATTATATTCCACTGCACAGCTATATATGTATCCCTCACACTTTGTTCTTCCATTCATTCATCAACGGACACCTGGATTGCTCCCAACTTTTGGCTATTATAAATAATGCTGTTGTGAACATGGGTGTACAAAGAACTATTTCTGACTTTCTACTCTCAGTTCTTCTGATTGTAAACCTAGAAGGAGAATGGCTGGATCATATGGTGATTATGTGTTTAACTTTTTGAAGAACAGCCACACTATTTTCCACAGCAAAAAACCCTCCCACCAACAGTGCGTAGGATTCCAGTTTCTCCACATCTTTGCCAATACATCATTTTCTATTCTCTTAATAATAGCCATCCTAATGGGCGTGATGTGATTACGGAGGCTGAGTATCCTCTCATGTGCTTATTAGGCATTTGTATACCTTCTTGGAGGAAGTGTCATTTAAGTTTTCTGGCTATGCATTCTCACTGCAAACATTACGCCGTCGTCGTTGATATCCATAAAAATTAAAACCTGAGAAACCCTTATCTCTACTTCCCTTTTGCATTTCATCTGAACATATGTTGCTTCTTATTTATATGAAGTCCCTGGATTACTACAAAAATTTCTAGTCCAAAATCAAGTAGGGTCCGTTTTTTCAGCAGAGGAAATGGGAAGAGGTTAGCAGGTAACGGCGACGATGACGGTGAGGACAGAGTTTAACTGAGTTCAGGGCTCTTTATGTATTAATTAATTCAACCTCTCATTTGAGATATATAGTATTATTATTCCCAATGTGTAGACAAAGGCACTGAGTCACAGAGGGTTTGAAGTATGTAGCACGAGGTCATTCAGCTAGTAAACGGCAGCCTGGCATTTGAACCCAGCCTCCAGGGCCATGTGGAAAGTATCCCCTAAAAAAAAAAAGTCCCTTCCCTTGAGGTCAGTGAGTCCCTGAAAACCATAGCTGATCTTCTTCATTCTTCTGAATGAGCTGAGCCTAGAACTGTGGTGTATCCTTCACCTTGCCACCTCAGGCCCTGGGGAGATGCACCACGTCCCCCATCACAGCACAAGGGGGAGTAAATGTGAGGACAGACACTCGTGTGAGCCAAGGCCCAAGCTGTCCTTGCACAACCCATGCTAAGAAATCCAGGGGGTCCGGGCAGGAAAGGGGAAGCCCAGGTGTGACGCTTAACCAGGCAGAGAAGCCGGGAGAGTCCTTGAGGGAGGGGCCAACATGGCAGGAGCAGAAGTAGGCCTAAAGGACCAGAGGCTGGCCAGGGGCCGCTGGCAGTTCTCCTGCGACTCTCCCCCCAACTGGGGCCTTTAATCTATCCAAGCCTGGGCCTCCTGCTGTTACTTTGCAAACTGACCCCCTATACAGAAGGCAAGGAGAGACTGAAGGTAGAGGGAGGCCACTCCAGTTTGGTACCTGGCACTTTTTTTTTTTTGTTAAGATTTTATTTATTTATCTGACAGAGAGATAGAGCCAGAGAGCACAAGCAGAGTGAATGGCAGAGGGAGAGAGAGAGGCAGGCTCGCCACTGAGCAGGGAGCCCGACGCAGGGCTTGATCCCAGGACCCTGTGAAGGCAGATGCTTAACCGACTAAGCCACCCTGGCGCCCCAGTAGGTGGCACTTTTAATCGGCAAAGGGAACTCACTTATGAGGCTTGTCTTGGGCAGCCGCGGGACGATTAGATCTCCACCACCCCCTGCCAAATCTTCAAAATGTGTAAAGAGGCCTTAGTTGGGTTCAGTCACGCATATGATCCAGACGGTAGCAACAACACCTTGCTCTCTCCAGGCTGTGTCCTTGGAACAGCTCCCACTGTGGGACAGGTGGGCAGAACGCGCATTCCAAGGACTGGGTGTGGGGCTGCTGGGGAGCCTCCCATTGCCCAGGTCAGCCAGCAGCCACGTTCTCTTGATGGCCTCCGCTAACAAATGCTACAATTCAAAATGTGTCGCTTGGTCTGGGGTTTTTGTCCACTGTGAAAATAATATCAATCAACGCAATTACAACACGATCCTATCCGTCATTTACACCTTAGTAGTGATAAACCGTGGATCTTTCTAAGAGCAGCTGTTGAGAAGCACAGTGCCCAGAGGGCCTAAGAGCTGGCTCGTGGATGAAGGAGGTCAGCTGAGGGCTGTAAAGGGAACCGAAAGAGGAGGGGGTGGTGTGCGTGATTCCGTGATTCCGTGTAGGTCCAGACCAGAACTTAGCATTTCCTTATTTTGTTATTTTTAGCAAATTCCATGGCTTCCCTCTTCCCCAGATATCTGACACCTGTCCTGCTGGAGTTCGCTTAGAGCTGTGCTTGCTTACCACCTCTGGCCTTTTACCCAGGTGTTTGCACCTGGGTGGGCTTTCCCTCTCCCTTCACCTGGCTGCCCGGAGTGGTCTTTCCCAGCCCTCTCCCACCTGCCGTCCTTTGGGAAGCAATTCCAGACCACCCACGAGGAGTTAGCAACTGACTCCACCCTCCTGTGCATTCCTGCTGTTCCCACAGCACCTGGGCTGCTGGAAGCTACCTGTCTGGGTCCTCATGTCTCTGTGCACTTGACCGTGAGCTCCCAAGGATGGAGATCCATCTCCTCTGGGTTCTGCTCAACGTCTGGTGAACACCGAATGAGTGCTTGCCGAACGCAGCCTGTGGGAATCCTGCCTTTCTTCAGGGCCTCACTGGCCACCTGCTGCTTCACCACCAGGCTCGACGAGTCGGCAGACAGATTCCTTCTCCTCCTCTGCAAACAGGCTCTGAGCCCTCAGACGTCTTTGTCTATGATCGTGCCTTCCAGAGACCACACTTCCTTCTTTGTGCCTGTT